AAATAAGTTACCACAGTTAGTGAAATAACTATCAGTTTAGAATTTACAGTAATTTTTTAAACTGTAGTATCTTATAAAAAGTTACCAGAGTTTTACTGCCCTAGCAAGTATTTTATTTGGCAGAAACCAAGGATATCATGGTCCAATACAGTCAGAGAGAATCCCAAATCTTACCTGGATGAAGAAATGGAAAAGTCTCCACCATCCAACAGCCTGATTTTGCAGAAAAGCATCCCGTTCACAAACGGCACAGCCGTGAGCTCCTCCAGGGTGAAGTGTATCTGAAACTTGAACTTCTTCTTTTTCACTAAAAACGCCATATTCTTTTGAGACTGGACTTTGGATGTTTGAAGGCAGAGGTAGATGAAGACAGGGAGATGGCTGCAGTTGTTTTTCAACCTGGTGCTTGGAAGTCCTTCTCAATGTATGTGCTTTGGTTCAGCATTTCTGAGAGGACTGAGGTTGTCCAGAAGAACCTAGGGTGTAAAACTCACTCTTAGACAGACTGGTCAGACAGGCTCTACACCAAGTAAACACTAACAAGTATATCATAACTTACCTTAAAACCAATACAGGGGCAGCACAGCGGGAACGCTACAGTCTCTACAGAAAAGCAAACACATTCCCTGGAGAGTTAGTTGAGTTACCTTGAAGAAGTCCATTATATCCAGGTGTAAAGATCCCTGGTGCTCCACTGGCACCATTCATTTAATCATGGAGAAATATCGTATGCTTTTTGAGAGTCACTGACAATGACCATCATCTTTTCACTCTAATAATCGAAAGTAGTCGCCTGTTGTTTCCAATAGCGTAACTGAAAATTTGAACACTTACGTCGATGAAGAGTTTTCATATGGCAGCCAGGATGGATAGAAATCACTGGACGGAACAATTCCGAAAACGACCCATAATAGAATGAACTTACTCGTATCGAAATCAACTGTTTAACGTTGAGTCAAAGGTAGACTGACTGCTGGGCTGAAACAGTCTAGCTCTTTAGTGAACTGTAGTAACGTTAAGCGCCGCCTCCATGAACGCGTGGATTTCCCTAAATACAGCTGAGCAGTTCACTGAGAGCGTTCGAAACTCCCGTTACATCCACAAGAACGCAACAGTACTCCAGAAAAACATTCAGAGTTCAGGCGCGTTGTTTAGCTTGGCTATTATGTAGGTTGCTATATTGGCTTAAGAGATTCATCAGCAACGTTACCATACGTGCCATCAGCGGTTTCTAGGGAGGCAGAAAACAAACGTTCGTGTTGTCAAGGAGAATCACTAACTTGGAGAATAAAGAGGACTTCGCGCGTATGTGTTACAGCAGAAAATCGTTGCTTGGGATTTGTTGGGAATGTAGCGCCATCTCGTGGCCGAATACTTGCTAGCTTATTAGAAAGGCATATACAAAAACAGTGGTTTTCAGAGGTAAATTATAACATGTAAATCATTCAATGTTATACTTCGACTAATGTTAAAGGCTTCTCATTTATAGATTCATTATTTTCTTTGCAGTTTGTTCGTTTTGTGTTTCAATTTTTTGTTAAACAGATAAATTAATAAAAATATTAAGACACTCAGCTGTTCTAGCAATAAACTCATTACTAACACTATTATTATTACTTCTACTACTAGGCCTACTATTAATTATTATTATATTATTATATTTTTACGATCTTAAGCAGTGACTCAAAGCAAATCAAATTTGTGATTACTTTTAACTATGTGCACACTGTTTTGTTCGAGTATGGTGTGCTTGTAATTATAATGTCATATAGTCTATTTATATTTGCATACTGTTGTAATGTCTTTGTGTTACCTAGGGACTATATTTATGGATATAAATTAGCAATGGTATTATAATGTTTACATTTGTATTTTTAGAATGTTCATTAATGTGCATTATCCCAATTTAATAAATGTGCCAAATTGTAGACAAATTGTTCCTTCACTTCAGACCAAACAAAGTAAGAAAAATTTTTTTAATGGGTGCATCATTATTTTAGAAAATTAAACCATGTTTAGAGGTTCTGTGTTTAATTGTTAAATAAATTCAACATCTTTATGCTGAGCTGTAACCACCACCATAAACGCTAAGGGGAACTTGATTTGTGGATTTGTAAAATGTAGCTGTATTCAAAACAACCTGCAAGGTTATCGCAGGCTGAGGGGAACTTGGATTTTTCAGAACAATTAAAAAATACAAGATTTTTTATTTTTTTTTCACTTACAGGGATTGTTTGCTGAGTCATAGCTGCATGACCAAAATATAAAAGTATGTGCAGTTTTATGAGTTCACATTCACAAGACACACTAGCAGTTCTCACTGTGGAGATATAGGGCAAATCATTATAGTATATAGCTTGGTGTAGACGGGAACAGACAAGCTCTGTGTAAGTCATTAAGTCAGTGCTAAATTATTGCTACGTCTACTCTAGTCTAGTCTAGTAGGTCTTCTGGAAGGCAACAAATGTGCAGCCTTGTCACACTGGAATTATTTAATTCCTGTAAATTGCATGGAAGTTAACTAGAAAAGTTTGTTTATTCAAAAACAGAGTTGTTTGTGCATAAAACATTCATGAGAATGGTCTTTGTGAAACTGGTACCCTACATCATTGCAAACTGATTGCAAATGAAAGTT